CAGCTCATACTAGCAAATAATACATTTCTTAGATGACTATGATTTCACTACAGGTATTAATACTTTCCAGAAATAGAAGTTACGAAGAATCAGTAATCTATACTAGCTAAGCATCTACAAAGAAAGTTCAGACACTGTTTCGAATAAACAATTCTTACGAAGAGTCAGTAACGGATTCTTACTCTGTGAAAACAAATAGATATTTTATGTAGAGCATTAAAGAAAAATAAACCTTATGACTACAAATAGGAGATTTTTAGACAGTTGCGACATCTTATGAATGACGTCTGTAAGATATAAAAGGAAATATACAGTATTACCAGGCTCTACTCTTTAGAACAATTTTTTCCTGCATTCCAAAAGAGATGATAAATGAAACCAGGATAAAAATAACTTTAATAGAAAAGCATTTTCTTCTTATAATTTTATAAGCTTTTGAAATCCGCGTTTCAATAAAGCAGTAAAATCAGCACAATTTTTCTAATAAATTGACAATTAAATAGAATTTCGTGCTTTGCTTGTGATCCTGACACAAAATAAAAATATTTTATGGAGATGTTGTAAGAGTTTTCGAAGAGAATTCAGCTCATCAAGTGTGAAAAACTTTAAGTCGAGTAATTGTCACCCTCTGCACGACAATGATTTGCGACACCAATTCCTATTTCACCAAGTAACTTCTAGCTTCTTCATCTTCCTACGCAAGATTACGATTTTCACCCACTCTCCTTATCCACCAGATTCGACACTTGCAGATACTTTGCTTTCCCTAAAGTGAAATCTCAGCTAAAAAGCCGTTATTTTAAACTGCCCTAAAAAGATTCAAAAAACGTAAGCAGAGGTTTAAAAAGTCTTCCAGAAAAATGCTTTCTACGAATAAATCAATAAGCTGTATGAATGCTCCAAATATTGTATAGACTTGCATGGATTGTATATTGAAGGCTAAGAAGCAAGTATTTGTGTTCTTTAAATTTCTGTTATCTATCAACTTAATATCTAAGACTGTGTAGATGCTGTGTATACTAATATTTTATCAAGGTCCTAGGCTACATTAATCGAACTGAGGCAAAGTAATACGAGGGTTGTTTTCCTATGGGGAAGGATGCCTTCTTGGAGGACTCCTTAACAGCAACTAGCTTGTATCTACGTCACAGATGGAGAAAATCATGAAAACGTCAATCAGCCAGCCTGTTCGCCTGGGTTTGAATCCGGCTCGAGCTATCAGTGTTTAGCGAATTCGTCGCTCGGTCGCTGATGAGCCATTTCATCAAGAGTTTTGCTTTCCAATGACATTAAAGCGCTTAAGAACAGACTAAATCACAAACTGATTATGATTGTGTAAAGTTATGAAGAAGCATAAAATTATACTCATAAGTATTTTTTAATTCTCTGGCTCACAGGTATTAATATTGATTAAAGGCATTTCTGGACACAATCCTTGCAAATCAGCTTGCCGTACATTTAGTTATCTAGTTGTAATATTCGATACCAATTATAACCTTTCTCGATTTTAAAATAACACACAAAAACGAAAACAAAAAAAATTGCTTGTTTTAGCGAATATTGTCACAGAAAATGCACAGAAATTTTAGAAATAAGCAGTTCATTGATTTTACTTTTCAGTTTAAGTAAATACATTAAAACTCAAGAAAAAGAAGAAATAAAAATTAAGGATTACTTTTGAAACCTTGAGCTGAAACGCAAATAAAATTTCTGATAGCTTTTTGCAGAAAGATGTGGAAAATTACTTTAATGACAAAATATTTTTTCTTTTTCTTTTTTAAAGTCATTTTTAAAGGAAAATATATTTAAATTTAGTTTTTTTTAATCTGTAAGTGTAAGAAAGCTTTAAGCAAGTCTTTAAAATCTGTCCCACCAGCCAAGAATTTAAATTCGATGTTGCATAAACAATTTTTCAAATTTAGTAAGCTGCGAGAAGCGTACATTTACTCATTTAGCGTATCGCATGTAACAGCACCAGTCATGTACTTAAGTGAAGCAATTACTTTGTCGATTAATTCTAGATAAAATATAGTTTTAAACGCGGAATAATCTTCGCCTTGCGTTTATTTTCAATGAGCTGCATCACGAAAAATATTTGCGTAAGTGATTGTATGATCACAAGGACTAGAAGCTATGCAATTTAACTATATGACAACAAATATCTTTTGTTGGAAAATGAAAAAAAAAAAAAAAATTAGGAAAATGGGATTTTTTTATGAAAAGAGCTATTACGTCGCTGAAGAAAAAATATTAAGAAACAAAATGTTATCTTGTGAAGAAACAGGCCATTGTTCATTACATAATCCATTGTTCATTAAATTTTGCTAGCTTTAATACCTAATATTTTTTTTTATTTAGTCAGCCAACTTATATTTTATCAAGAATTTCTCAATCAATATCTATCTTTAATCAATTTATCCTTTATCATGAATTTAAATAAAAAACAATGCTGTCAGTTGAAGTATTTTAATTGCAGAATGATAAATATTAAAGTTCGCTTTTCTATAAGTTGCATCGATGATCTAAAAGAAAAAAAAATGAATAAATAATTTAAAAAAAAAAAAAAAAAGTCTGAAAACTTTCAGATTTTAGATTACGCCTTTCGAGAGCATTTGGACTAATGTCTTTTGGGCTAAAAATATTTAAAAACAGCGTATCTTAAGAATTTCCGATAAACAGTCCCTGTCGGAGATAAAAATGTTTTTTTCCCATACAGTGTTGCCATTGCTCGCTTTAGAATCGTTAGTTTTGTGGCAAAAAAACTCGTCAAGTTTTACAAAATATGAAACAGACAATAAAACAAATTCGAAATTTCAAATTAGGGCTTCCAGGTGTCCATATTCGGGTGGAGGACAAGGTTATTCAAAATTTGATGGCTCTAGCTACCGTTTATTATTATTATTTCTTCTCACATTGCGAAAATATGCCTGCATTCATACAGATTCTCCTTATTTAATTTCTTTAAATATAATACAGGGCGATAATATTTGGTGGCAAAAATTTAAAAAGTAATACACCGTTTATAGTGAGACACAAAATGTCCTTTCGGGCCTGATAGCCCTTCTAGGCTAAAGCTCCTTTGGGATAATATTAGTCTTTTACTATTCGATGAATGTGTATTATTTTCTATTAATCAAATCCTGGAAAAATAAAATTCGCAGGCACTATTATGTCTCAGAAACTGACAAGAAAATCAGAAAGAGTCTTAGAGGCAACTTTTAGCAAATGTGGAAACAATATAAAACACAAGATCTTTATTTCTACGAGCTGTCAGGTATAGAAGACTCTTGGACTGTTCTTTTCGCAAAGTATAAGATTTCTAAATTGTCTTCACATTTAATAAATCTCTTATTTATTGCCAAATTGAGCGATATATATGCATTAAACGCACGTCTCAATATTTACTTTTTCTGTAATTTTTTCGATGATCTATTTAAGTAATATAAAATAAGGTACTTTTAATTTACGATATACCCAACTGAAAATTTGTATGAATATTACAAGTTTGTTGCATTTAATAAAAATGTTTCTAATATCATATGCCATGTAGTTAATATAGAAACGTTTATTAGAATTTTTATAATGTTTTAATTATTTTTTAGTTTTTTAATTGTAAATCTTTCTTTAACGGGATAGAGTGTAATCCTCAAATTTGCAAGATACATTTTTTCTTTTGCAAGATACCGCAAGAAGAGATCCAGCGAGGGGCAGCAAGAAGACGAAATCATAAATTCCTTTCTTGAAATATTTTCGAGAATAACATCACTAAAATTGGACTTCACAGCATTTTACTGTGAATACTGATTTACTATTACTGGCAATTACACAGGTTGATTTACTTCTCTTAATAAAATATTGCTCTAAATAAATTTTCTTTCAGAAGGTAACATTTTTTAAGCATTGATGTCTTTTTCAAAAAGTATATAAAATCACGAATTTATTTTCTGCATTAGGCCAAGATATTTGTCAAACACTTTTTTAAAATCTTCAGCAATATAATTTCATATAATAGTATTGTTCTAAATCTATTTTCTGTAAGTATATAAATTTATTTGATTCCACTCTTATTCTTATGCATTGCTGTAATATTTTGCATTGTTTTACTTAGTTGTTTATTCAATTTTAGATTTTGGGATGGTAATTTTAGTGTTTAGTTTATACGTAACTGAATATGTTGCCAAATTTTGTAGACAGGTGTTTGTTTTCATATAGAACCGCATATCTTTCAATTCTGTGTCCAGTAACGTAAAAGTGGCTCAAGTAGTAAGAGAGATAGGGAAAAAACGCTCTTTATGGACCTTGGCGTCATGTTTCCGATGTTTGGCGATTTCTCACAGACTTGATGTGATTCTGGAAGATTCAGGAAAACGAATTGTCGAAGCCTTAAGACCGATTTTTCCTGAAGCTTCCAGAAGCACATGCTACACTATATAAATAAGCCTTCAAATGCTAGGACGTGTTAGTTGTCAATGAGCTGTGAAATTAACGAATCAATGAATGTTAGCTGAACTACATGTTGAGTGTTAGCTGAATTTATTCTGGTAAATGATTTTGGAAGCTTTACGATATTTTTTGCGCACTAAGAAGAAAGGAGGAACTGCTCAATATCCGTGTTTTCCTTACTTTCTTTGTAACTTTAATTTTATTTACTTTTTTACCTTTTCCCCTTTGTGTGATAATTAATGGTCAATTTCATCCTTTTCTGTTCGTCGAATGTGATTATTCAAAGCCCATAGCATCGACAGGTAGCAGTATATTTGAAGACATTTATTAACTTCATATTGTTGTCATTATCTGTAAATATTTGAATCCAGTTGATTTCATTGTTATTTACGTGTATTGTTGAATTTATTTATTTTATTTTTTGCCTTTAGAATAAAAAATAGATTTTGCTGTAATTAAATTTGTGCCCACTCTTTTTGTATATGAATCCTTAGTTCTTGTATAGAATTATAGATCTTATGATTTTTAATCCAAGAATGTTTAAATTGCAAATATAGCTCAAGAAGGACCTTAGATGTAAGCAGAAATTTTCCTGGTGGGTCTTTGAGGCAGCTGGTGATTTCTCGCCAACTTGACGACACTCTGCAAGCTTCGACAAAACGCAATTTCGGAATTCTAGGAGTAATTTTTCCCAAAGGCAGGTAAAGATACGACACTGACAACCATCGATGAATCAGCTGTTAATCAAAGGCTCAAGAAGAGTTAGCTGAACTGTGCTTCTAAATTTACTCTCAGAGTGACGTCCGAAATTTATGAGTTTTCTAATTTATATAGGACAAATTCCCTAATACCCGCGTTCTTCTTTAGTTAGTTACAATTATTTTGCTGCGTGTTATTAATTGCAACTAATTGTCATTTTCTTCCTGTTCATCTGGAGCTACTACTTAAAAAGACAACTTTTGAGGCTTTTGAGCCCAGATGCAGAAATTTATAACGATTATGAACTGTGAATTAATAAATCATCGATTTTATGAACTTAATGGTAAACTTTATTACTATGAACTTCAAAACCCATGATATATACTTTTTAAATTATTCTTACTATCATTGCATAATATCTTAAGTCGTTTTCCTTTATTTTGTTTACGTATTAGTTCAAAATTTTGTCCATTTTATAAGGTATGTCTCCCGCCGCCTTACCATGCCTTCGTAGTGAAGTGGTCGGCACGCTGGCGCGTATTCCAAAGGTCTGTGGTTCCATTCCCGGCGAGGACGTTTCTCATTTTTCATCACTGCTGCTTTAAAAATAACCTGATGACTCTACAGTGGCGCCCGAACTAAAAGGGTTTTGGATGATGATTCTCCACGCCCAGGATTTGGCGATTGTGTCTCCTAGAAACCGCAGTCGCCCTTTAAAAGGGGGAGTATATAAGGTATTTCTCCCACCTTCTCAGCATGCCTTCGTAGTGTAGTGGTCAGCACGCTGGGTACGTATTCCGTAGGTCAGTGGTTTGATTCCCGGCGAGGGTGTTGCTCATTTTTCATCACTCCTGCTTTAAAAATAGTCTAATGACTCTGTAATTTAAGTTGTGCATTCGAAGTTTCATACAAGATGAATTCTGGTATTTGGTATCTGACATTTTATATAAAAGTTAATTATTTATTTGTCGTGCCTCACATCTCTAAAAGAGGAATTTTACCAAAAATTAAATAGCCTCCTCTTATAAAGATATGAATTTTCTTACTTGGTCAGTCTTATTCATAGCTTACTTTTATTTATTTGATTGCTGTATAACTGTTTTAAATTCATGACAATCTCAATGCCATTTTAAAATTAAAGTTATGATACACTTTAAAAAATATTCGCTTGTGCAAAAAGCATCTTCCTGGAAATTAAATCACCGGCAGAAATTCCTTTACATTTATTCATATATGCCCTGTTATATTTAAATGTCAGCTCTGCAAATTCTTAATGTTTCTGAAGACTGTTTCCACTGGTTGAACATACAAGGCTGTAAACTGAATATAAGGGTAGTGTTTGGTTGGCAGCGATGGAAAATCTTTTCTTTTTCTTTCTAACTAAAATTCTTTTTAAGCTGTTAAACTATATAATTAAATCCTGAAAATAAATCTCAAGTCTTTAAATAAAGCATTTCTCCAGAGGATTCAATTTTTATTTTTCAGTAATTTTACTAATTACAGCGACTAAGGACATATTAGATGAAGTTCAAAATTTTTACAAAAATCTTTTCCGGTATCTGAAGGCTTCGTCTTTCTATTTCTGGCACTTGCTAATAACTTTTGATGGAAAGTTATTAAAATAAAATAGCTACATGAAAATTGGAGTCTAATAAATATCGCATCAGCATACACGTTTCTCTAATGAAAATGCTTATAATATCATATTATGCTGCCAACTATTATTTGAAAATTTATTACGAGATTGAACAGCTTTTAACATTTAACTCGTAAGTCGACATAGTTAAGGAAACCTAAACTAATTATGGGGTTCTTTATTTAAGTAAATAACGAATAAATTTATTTTAATATTTTGTAATATACTATTTCAAATGCACCATTAACGATTAAAAATAATGTTGCAAGTTACGAGTTCGAGGATTTCTCTTTCAACAGGAGACTCCAAATAAACAGGTGGAAATTGACAACTGTATTCTGATTAATAATAAACCACAATAAACTAAAACAAAAATAATTAAATATCTGAAAACTTTCAGATTTTATACTACGTCCAAGGGGGCGTTTTTCTCATTTACACACAAATACACATTTCGAGAGGATCAGAGCTAATGTTCCTATGGGCTAAAAATATTTTTAAAAAAATCTTATAAAAAACTTTTTAATCTAAAAGCTATTTCTAATCGCACTAAAAAGTAAGAAATAAAATAAATTATGACTTCTTGACCACAACGCTCAAAATTTCAAATAAAGATATAAAAAGTAACTGCAATTGCTTAGTGTTGTGGTCAATTTATTTTTTTTTGCCTAGTTTTTTACTAAGTCATAATTTATTTTTTTTTGCCTATTTTTTAGTGCGATTGGAAATAGCTTTCAGATTAAAAAATTGTTTTTATATTTTGTTTTTAAAGTTTAATCGTTTTTAAATTTAAACATGGTTTTCAGTATTAATTTAGCATCAGATGTTTATGAAGCAACTAGTTTTAGTTAAATTTTACGCAATCGATTATTTTTTGTAAATTCTTAACGTTTTGTTCATATTTAACATCTGATTATAATTATTATAATCGTAAATTATTTTTGTAAATTTTTAATGTTTTGTTTGTATGTAACATCTGATTTAACAAGCAGTTTTCAACGCGGCCGTTACAGCATTTTATTAGCTAGTAGCGCGCCATCTATCACTCAGACGCTACTTCTAGCGTCTGAGTGATAGATGGTTATCGCGCACAAGCGGCTTCGCAGAACGTACTTTTATAACAGAGACCTGAACCTTAATAGTAGCTTTTAAATAAAAAAATCTGATGTGTACACCACATGACTTCCTTGTACGGAATATTAAATTATACGCATTTTTCTTGCATTTTATTTAAACTTATTAGATTGAATTAAACCTACTTCGCCGACAGCGCATAAACCACAATACAATAAATGCATTCTTTAAAATTCACTATTTGTTTACCATAGCGACACTCTGGCGCTAGGTTTACTTAACAGTATTATATTTCGTTCATATTATAACTCAGAATGCACAAAATGTATATCATTTAAAGAATTATCTAATCGTTGCCACATGTTCTATTCAAATACTATAATAAAGCTAGAACGATATATAAAAGAAATTAAGCAAACAAAACAAAAAAAGAAACAGTTTTTCACAGAGGATTGAGTATTTCTCATTTAATTAATTAATTCAGTTCTCACTTCGCGAGAAGGCAAAAATAAAAAAATACATAAAAACTCAAAATATCTATATTAAAAATTACGAAGTAAGTAAATTTCAAACGCTTATTTCCTGGAAAAAATTCCAGAAAGAATTAAGCATGATTTAATTGGCAATAATAAATTAATGCGTTATCTTTGTCGTTGCGAAGCTAAGTTTCTCTAGATTGGCAACAAATCCACTAGTCTCCTGTTTCAAATGTAAACATCAATGGCCGCCATTAAAAACAGGCTTAGCGGCAATTAAACAACTTTAAAATTGCTGATAATTCTAAAAATATTGCACACCGATTTACTAAAGGCATAAAATCCTTAACCGGAAGATAAAAACAACATAATTCAATCATTTTTAAAGCAAAAAAATGTACAATTTACAAACATATAAGAGTAAAGAAACTGAGATCACCGAGCCGGGTAATAGAGTGGATGTATATATATAAATATATTTATATACGTTTGGTGCGGACGATTGCAACCAAAATACGAGGTGCACATCTACATGTTATAGCAGTCCTATATACAAAATTTCAACGTTTTGAGGTTACTCGTTTTTGAGTTATGCGAGATACATACGTACGCACGAACGTACGCACGTACGTACATACGTTCGTACAGACGCCACGAAAAATTCTCTTTAGAATTCATTTTAAATCAGTTTTGTAATTTTTGTGGAGGAAAACAGTCTTTTATTCTGTCCTTACGTACAGATATCACGCAAAAACATCGTTAAATTGCATTCGATAGCGATCGAAATGGATACGAGAAATATGCTGCCTGAAACTTTTCGCGATTACAATACTTCCTTTTTACTTCGTACAAGGAAGTAAAAACAGCCTATCTTTAGAATTTCTGATAGACAGTTTCACGCGCTGCAGATAAAAATGTTTTTTTCCTGTACACTGTTGTCACTGTGTTGTCATTGAAATCATTAACTTTGTTAATCAAAAGTTAGTTAAAGTTTTACAAAATATGAAAACACAATAATCGAAATTCAAAATTCGAGCTTCCAGGCATTCACATTCGGATGGAGGCCTACGTTATTCAAAATTCGATGGCTATAGGTACCGTTGTTTTTTACACAATGTGAAAAACATGAATGTATTCATGCAAATTCTTCATTTTTTAATTTCTTTAAATATAATGGAGGGAAATAATATTTGGTGGCAATAATTTGAAAAGTGATTCAAACTTTTATAGTGATTCAACGCAAAGCCCCGTTTTGATCTTCGTTTTGATCTTTAACAGATCTGGAACTACGTTCTTTAGGGCTAAAAAAAGTCATTTAATTTATTATTGCGTGTATTAAAATTCCTGCATCGCGATTTCTTGACATTTTAAATACATTTTTGATAATTTGTGTACGACGACATCATTTTCTGAGCTACCAATTAGCTTCATAATGCTAAAAAAAATTGCAACCTTAAAACATTTTTACCGTCGTATTTTCAACACGCTTCTCAAACTGACTGCTTAAAATTCTGCCTATGTTTTTAATTATTGTTTGTCTCAGTTGAATAGTATTTTCGTAGCATTTAAATTCAATTTGTTTTACACTTATTATAATAGCATTCGCTTGACTGAAACACAAACGTCAACCTGAAACTTGAAACTGTAAATATAACTGAAAATTGAGCCCTTCAGATATATTTAAATAACAGTATCTTATTTAAATATTGTGAGATATAAACGGAAAATATTTTATTAAAGTATTGTAGAAATAACAGCAAAAGGGATTCCTTTGTTTTACGAACTATCTTATAGTTCTTTGTACCTTACAGTTCGCAGAAT